ACCTCTTCAGAGGGGGAAATGTTGGAGGGAAGGAGTGGGCATGGATTTGATCAAAACACCTTATATGCATGTATGAAATTCTCAATAAAGTTTTTGTAAAAAATTTTTTTAAAAGTTCCCTTGGTCACGGTGTTTTATCACAGCAACAGAAAGTATCTAATACAGCCTGGAATACTGAAGATCAAGGGAACAAGAAAATACATGGTACCAAAACATCAACCCAGCAAGGACTCAGCAAATACCAAAAGAAAGATTTGGCTGCCTACACCTTAACCAAGTGATTAAACTCAATATCACCTCATGCAACACCTGCTATTTTGGCCTATACCTCTGATGCTATAGGGGGAACTCAGCACCTGCAAAGACCAGCCTGAATCTCATCAGATGTCTAACCCTAGCTGCCAGCTTACTGGAAACACAGTTGATGGAGGTTGTTATAAGTTTTATAACAACCAACCCAGGGAAAGAAAAGGCCATAAAAGAAGCTGTCTTCTGGTCTCTTCAAAAACCAGTGTTGTGGGAGTAAAAAGAAGAGATTGTTCTAGATTAAAAGATAGTACTGTGATATAAAAATCAAATGCAGTGTGTGAGCCTAGATTAAATATTGGCACAAGCAGAAAAGCTAGAAAAGTTTAGGGGAACATGAAAATGGATGAAACAGACAATAAGATGAAATCATTGTTAATTTAGTGGAATCATGGTAATGAAACTATGGGAAATAATGTTCTTAATCTTAAGTGATGCCTGATGAAATCCTCCACAAACTCATGTCAAGGTGCACATGCATGCACGTATACACACAAAATAAATGTTTAAAAAAATTAAAATTATGCCTTACATAATTTAAAATAATTATAAATATTTAACAATTAAATTCTGTGTTTAAATAAAAGCATTCCATATAAGGGCAAAGAAAACAGTTTGAAGTAAGATAAAACAACAATTTACTCCCATACTATGAACCACAAATCCATAGAGAGAAATCTAAAAACACTTGTTCATGCTTATGCATATATACCATACACACAATTGAAGAGGTGCCA